TTTGCTTTCTTATTATGCATATGTTGGATTGCACGTCACGTTCTAAAGCCTAATCCACACTAACCAATGACGTTAGTAGCTAACACTGTTTTCCAGCGGAGTGTATCGATCATCCTCTTTTATTTGGTTGACCCATGGCTCGATCTTCAGCTCAATTGGTAAGAGACACAAATTTTAAATTTCTTCGGTAACTGCGGCAGCCACGGTAAGGCAACGGAGGCTGGTTCTAGTCCAGTCGGATCGAAGATATCGAGTTATTTACACACATTTGTGAAATTTTAATGGCAACATCTCTCGTTGAAGTCGAAAGAAAAATTAGTCCACTGGGTAGTGCCCGGGCACAGCGCCCTCGTAGCTAACTAAGACCTAAGTCCTCGGCTTAGACGAGACTGTCCAGTAGTGGGTACGACATATTTAGGTTGATGATTAACATTATCTAATTATAATTCAACAAACGATTACGGTGTCCAATAAATATTCAAGGCTACCTCGGCAAGACTAACCTTGTCTTTCTTGTAGATGGCACTGCCTGACAAGCCTGCTATATTTGGAGATAAATGGTCCAGGACTGAAATGTCTGTCGAGTGGTGCCTTCTATCTTTTTAAGTAAACGTTGTTACCTTCGAAGTATAAGTTTTTATTTATAATATAAAGTGACGGGATGAACAAGTCATGCGCCTGATGGTAAGATAAACGCCTGTCCATAACAGTTGCAGTTTTAAATCGCGTACATCTAGTAGAGGGGCACTGCCACTGCGCCCGTGACCCTGAGACAGAAGTTGACAATCCCATCCAGTCCCATGTGCCTGTAATTTCGCCAGCACCTTTACCCTTCAAAACCTATAAGTTAACGAAATAAGAAATATTTATTTCTCATAAGAATTATTACAAAATTCACTTACATACAAATTTCACATTCATATTAGCCAAAAATTCGGGCTTTATATCGTACAAATCTTTTTTATTTATTTAGCTTATTTTGTAATGTAACTCACTTATAAATGACAGACACAAATTAGTAACAAAAACAAAAATTAAATTAAATTCACTAAGACTACAATTTTGTATACTATCATATAAGAAGGTAGTGTGATGATCAATTCTAATTTTTAAAATTAGAATTGAAATGTATGTTTCCAAACTTAACAGATATATGACTGAGAGCACCTGGAAGCGACATTGATGTTTTTTTTTAGATATATCGGCGCTATTGAAGTGTGTTATTATATTTATTTCGTGTTATGATAAAATTTTACAATTTTGTTTATTACTAGCTGCTACCCGCGACTTCGTTCAACTTTTTAATATTGTATAATTATAGTAAAAATAATGGTTGTATTTTATACTACGTCTTATTTTTATAGTAGGTTATGGTTATAGCAGGTTATGTTTTTGAGCAATATTTTTAATTTAGGTTTAGTGGCTTAACCTATAAGTTAAACATTTTAAACCATAATCGATGTAATGGTTTAATTTATTCAAAGGGGTTATGGACTGTCTAGTAGTAGTCTTTTATAGGGTGATGTACTGGTTGGTATTCTCAAGTAGGTACTTCAAATTCGCGTAATTATTGTGAAGTGATTCTCTGCCAATTAAAATTATAAGTCGCAAATCGCTTTATTATCTCGTGGTCATAATATTATCATAATAACGTTTTATTGTCATGGATTACAGATTAAAAAGGTATTTAGATTTATCTATATAATACACGGAATATAGCTGTAATTATTAAGACGTTAGAGCTTTAAAACAAATCATTAACATTGACGCACGATGGCACGAAGACAAATATTGGTCATCGCATGATACTTGTTTACTTATTATAAACCGGTTGAATTGCGATGTCATCTTACGTACTCAATAAACTAGCTCTTATATCGATGGTTAGAGTAAGGTTGCTAACAGATGGACTACATGTCTGCAGTCGTGACTTCAATTGCAAATGTCGGTTGCAGTCGTTGTGAATATATAGTTCGTGAATCAAAAGCAGCAATGGACATTCTTATTATTTTTTTGTATCTTTAATATTTTCGACGTGAATTTGTTGACAAATTAAATAGAGAATGCCGATAGTGATATGTTTATTTCCTTGATAACAAGCAAAGTCAGCAGCTCCGATAGAACAAGCTAAGGTGGTATGAACACGTGAGAAGGAAACTTCAAAACTGCGTTGGGAATGCCGTGATATATCTGAAAAAGTCTGGGTCAGAAAAAAGGAGGAAAAAAAAGGGCCACAGAAAAAACTTTGATACAGACACAGAAAAACTTTGTTTTCAAAAATTGTGAACAATCTTGCGTCATTTTCAGTGAATATATAAATTACTATAAGATTTCTTTAATTCACGTCCAAGAACCCGAAAAGTAGTAGTCTGTATGATGTGATGAGAAGAGTGAACGGTATGAATGTGCAGGGTAACAAGGGGAAAGGAATGCCAAAGAAAAGATGGATGGATTGTGTGACAGATGACATGGATAATAATAATAATAATAATAATAACGCACACACTCAACATAGCCCCACACTAGGGAAACCCTGTGTCGCGGGTGCCATGGACACACACATAGACAACTACAAATTACACCCAAACTCACGAGAGAAATAAATGTGGGCCATACAAATATTTCTCCCGGCCCGGGAATCGAACCCGGGAACCTCTGCCAGGCAGTCCGGTATGGTAACCGTTCGGCCACGGAGGCAGTTAATAATAAGGATTAGCAAGGTGTGAGTATAAAAGGACGGCTGATAGGGGAGAGTGGAAGAAAAATATATGTTGTGCCGACCCCACCTAGCCAGGGATAAGGACAGGAAGAAGAAGAAGAAGATTGATAAATTCCTACGTAGACACGTAATGCGTATTGGGGTTCGTCATTTCTACAAGAGTTTATGACATTTCATCAACCTTTTGAGAGATGCCTGTTGCATTATACCGAGCCATTCTTATTACTGTAGTATTAAGGAGTATTAAATAGTCAGACGTTTACTTGTTTTATATTTTTCTATCACAAGTAACTTAACGTTTTTTGTTATTATAAGATTTATTACTTGTTTTAGATTATGTAGTTTTCAAAGTACATATATCTGTTAATTGAAAGGTTAAAATTTTAATAAATAAAATGAGACGCTTACCAATAAAATTGGAACAAACAGAAAATGGCCACTGATATTGTCAAAGAGAAATGAAACACTGTTCGTGTATTAATAATTAAAATATTTATTTTACTTTATGAAATCTTTTGCTCCTGTATTGAATATAGTAGCAGCAGAGCTCCTTGTGGAAGGGTCCGGCCAGTGAAGTACTGCCACCTTAGTAAGGGAACTGGTGAAATTACTGGCACATGGGATACAAATTTGATTCAAAGTGTATTCCATAGCATTTAAATTTATTTGAAAAGAGCGATCCCTAGAGTGTCTTGCTCGTTCTTCTCAGGGAAGTCAGCGTAGTGGAAGAGCAGTAGCTTAAATGTGACGTTTTCAAGTGTAAATTTATTTTACTGAATAAATGATTCTTCGACTTTGACTGCGTTCTGGTTCTGAAGGATAAGGGTCCTGGTGAAAAACCCATGACACGTGGGACTTTTCAACTTATGTCTCAGGATGATGGGCGTAGTGGCAGTGCCCCTCAGATCTTTATGATTTAAAGCTCTGAGTAGTACTGCAAATGTTGTGGACCGGCGTGCCGTTTACATCAGGCCGACGACGTGCTCGTCCCGTCACCTAGTTTTCATAAAAAAAGAACAATGTCTATCAGTTAACTTTAAAATTATAGGTCACAGTGCTATGGTTAATATTGTAAATCATTTCTCACTATTCATCCGACATTCAGGAACTGTCGGTTATGTTTATTTTGGGCATAATAATTATTGCTGGTGGATAATATTTGTTTCGAGTGAATATATGTATCATTGGCGAAAAGTGTACACAACACGATTACCGTTGGTTCGCATTAAGAAAGTATTTAATTGACCCATAATACAAAAACAAGCAACAACAACAACAATAACAACAGCAACATTTTTGTTCATTTTGAATCAACGAAACGCCTGAATTTTCTATCCGACAATTAAGTCGCGACACGCCTAATTTAACCAAAACCGATTAAGTCTTGGTAGCTAGTCTAGGTAGTTAAGCCTTGGTATAATAGTTCGAACTACCGCCTCTCAAGCAGAGGCCGTCGTGGGTACGAATTCGGACTCGCACCTCTGACTTGTCGGAATTTATAAATAAATAAAATAAACATCATTTATTGCAGACAATTATTTACAGTCCATTTTGTTAGTACACTTACATACTTATATAATCTACTGTTAAGTACAAAAGTTATAGAATAACAATACAAAAAAATATTAATTATTAATAAAAATTACTACATGATACCAGCTAAGTTCATCGAGCTCCCAGGACGTAAACTTTATGGGCGAAATATTTGCTTGGCTGCAGAAATAAGTGGCAGTACTTCCCAGGACGAACTCTTTCACAAGGAGCTCTACTGCTACTACAACAATTATAATAATTTAATAATTGTACTTTTATTATTTTTTACAACCGTCCTTTTCCTCTTTTATCATCTCTTACAACAAATCTTGTAATTGAGCTTTCTGCATTTTCATTTCCCTAAGGCCCCACAACCAGGTAAACATCGCACTAGCTCGAATGGTAAGACAAATAAAGTAACTTGTAGGGTATTCATACAAGCTACGAACAGTGGGTTGTCTCGTAAACATGACACCACGACGTCTAAAAAATTGTTGTTGTTGTTGAAAATACAACCTGTTTTGACTTGTTTTTGTTTTTAATAATTAATTATTGTGTTTTACTAGGAATAAAAACTTAATAGTCTTAATATCCAACATTTGAAGTAAGCAGCGTACATTTACCTAACCACATACAAAATTATGTAACCAATAAGTAACTTATTTTTGATCCGAACCTTACAAATCAACGTTTAAATTGTACGTTCCATTATTATATATGATTTAGTTTCTAAAATGCTACACAGTAGTGAGCCAGTGTCAAATCAGTACAGTGCGTTGTTAGTGAATGAGTGTGTGCGTTATTATTATTATTATTTCGCTTTATTTAGGTGTAAATGTAGTAAATTACACGAGTAAGTATATTTAGAGCAATCTACTCGCACAATTTATGGTATAGGTTTGCTTGTGAACAGTATAATGACTCTTATAAGTTGTATTTGACTGTTTATTATGTCGTGTTGGCCAAACTAATTGATGTGATTTGTGTGTCATGGTGGTCTATGGATAACAATGCGATAATAATTTAATTTATTTTATCTTTTATGTTTACGTTATTGGTTGTTATTAGTAACACTACGTAATAAATACAATCTATAAAATTGATTCGCTAACCGTATGTTGTGCACTAAAATGCATATATGCTATGTTTGGATATCCTTGGTGATCCAGTGGTTAACACTCTGAGTTCTAGGTTAAGAGAAGCTGAGTTTGCTTCCCGGTAGGTGCAATTTAGGAACCACGCGAATTTAGGAAGTGTTCGTTCAGGGATGTACTGCCACCTTACCTATTTCTGCCACCATGCAGTAATATGAGCGTTATTGCGTTTCGGTTTTGAAGAGTAAGGGTGCTATGATACTAATTTAAGGGATGAACAAGTCGTGTGCCTGATGGTAAGCGACACACCTGTCCATAACAGTTGCAGTGCCACTCAGAGCGCAACGCGCGACATACTATACGTAGGTAGCTCGATTACCACTGACATTTAGGTAATCGTTCTCCGGGAAGGAGTAGGATATATAAGAATGTCTCAGAATGGCGGGCGCAGTGGCAGTGCCTTTCAGATCATTGCGATTTAAAGCTCTGAGCGGCACTTATAGACAGGCGTGTCGCTTACCACCAGGCGCATGACTTGTTCGTGCTATCGCTTGGTATCGTAAAAAAACATTTTTTTTATTAGTTCTAGTCTGGGTGTAATAGATAGCAAGTCAAGTCAAGTACCGTTATTGGTAGCAAGGTACCCTGTGTAGAATCTACCCTGGTACCTCTATACAATCTAACTTGGTTATTTTTACCGCAATGGTGTCTTCCAAGTTACAGGATAAGAAAGAATAATTCCTTAGTAGTAAATATTTACATACGATGGAAGAATAATCCAATAACACGACGAACACCCTAAATTCAATTACCAAATAAGTAATCATCACAATAATACAACACAATAATAAAAATGTAATCAACCAGTATACATATTTACTTTTTTATTTATCTAATTAAACCAAGCAGTCCGTCTAGTATTATATTAACTGCTATATTCGCATAGTACGCTAAATGCTAAATTTTTATAGCGCTCTATTTAAAGTGCTAAAATTGTAATTTTTAGCAGCTCAAGGTCGTGTGATAATGTAAAGAATGGAAAGAAACGTGAAATAGTTATAATGACGTGCGCTAACTTGTTAAGTATAGCATCTATGGTCTGTTTATAGAATAGTTTACAGTTTTTTATGGTTAGTTACGACCGAATTCATTTGTTTTGTAACTATTACATAAATGGTGGTTACAGGTTATAGACGATAAATCAATGAGCTTCCCTTCATACTTTAACAATTTACTATTTACAATTTGCACAGAACTTTACACTGGTTATTTACAGTAAATTACACTCGTAATAATTAATAATAACGCACACACTCGTACTTTTATATATAACTATTACAACGACTTATTAATGAAACAAACGCTAAACTAACTAAATAAATCCAAGTACTTAATTATATCTTAATTTAAATCGCTTCACCAGGCGAAATTTTGCTAACGTTCCACCATTAGTTCAAAATCGTATTAAAACGTAACCAAAATTATAATTTATAACATAACTACAATTATAATACTTGCTAAGTGCTAAATATAGCATTAGCGCTTAGCGTACTCAAACGTGAAATTTAACATCAATAAACCAATCAGCTATTTCGCGTTTCGGACCAAACGTTAAATGCTACAAATAATATGTGTATTTCACGTTATAATTGTTTCAACCAATGACAAGAGCCGCAATTTTCACATAGAATATAGTGCCATCTATGAAATATTTAGGGAGATAACTCAGGACAAAGAAGGATTTTGTTTGTTAGCTGCGAAGTAAAGTACGGATAGATTGATGGTATGGGATTGAAATATTGTAAAATTATGTCCCTAGATGGCATTTGGTTTAATTTTCTTAACGTACTCCAATCCAAAGTGAAAAAAAGTTCGTTATACTTTTTGCACCTTTATGTCTTTCAAATTATAATTTCTATGATTATTTTTTAATTTAACGTTATATTGAGCTATATATTATATTAACCATCTATATCGTCTAGTCACGCGGAAGTTCGATAAAGATTGCGATTTAAAAGATTAAGAGTGAGTATAAATATGCGCACAGTTTGTACACGTGTAATGTATGCTCGACTGATGTTTTTGTTTATAACATTACCCTTAAGTTTTAGGACGTGTTATTTTTTTAAATCGGTGTACAATATAGAAAAAATCAATTTTATTTTAAATTAAGTTCCATTTTAAAGACGGTAAGTATAGAATATATTTTTTTATACTTCAGAAATACTAGATTTTAAAGCTTTCATGGTTATTCACTAAATATTCATCACTAATTATAGGTTTCTTACCACGATATGATTTCTTCTTATTTTTGCGATATTTCGTAACGGTAAAGCGCTTGGCTTGTCAACCCGTGACCCGTAAGCGTGTTTCCGAAATACGGCGAAAATGAGAAGTCTTATCATCGCGAACAATGTATGTCATGAAGGGTACCAAAGTCATACATTTAATATGGTTAGATTTGTATTAGTGGGTCGCAATCTGACGTGACGGCTTGTGTCGTGTGCATGAAACCGATACCGATCTGACGCGTGACAAATGTAAGTCCGACTTAATTTACAAAGCCAAAATGGCGAACTAAGCTCAAGTGTATATAGAATTGTGACGGTGTGACCTCCTTACACCGTCATCTCACCTCTTTGTATCGCCTCTCTCCGCTTGTATCCTATCATTTTTTTATTTTACATGTATTTAAATTTTAAATTTGAATTGTTCCATCTTCCTTCACTTTCTCATTTTATTTTCGTACCACAGTCACTCCCAGCTCGACCGCCACAGCAGTCCGAGCTGTTCCAAATTCCATCGCGAATAATCGCTAATTTTGGTTCTCTACTACGTTTATAATCATTTCATAAGCTAAATCATGTGTAATAATTTATAACAGTCAGCCTTCGTGTACCTATATCTGCAATTCAGTTACTCGGCCCATTTAGGGGTAAGTGCCTTAATAATAAAGTGTAGGGAGTGTTTTATACTGTTGTACCTGTTCTTTTACATTTACCTTTTTATTGTTACAGCCCTTTCATTAAACTTTACTTCTTTAATAAATTTTGTGGACCGGAAGTTTCCCATCTCATTGCCGTGAACCTGTTCACGGCTAGTTAGAGTTACAACCCTTTCAGAACCACGCGTAGGTACTGCTCGCATGCGTGTCCCGCTCTCTAAGTATTTCTACTGTATTTTTTTTTTATTCTGTGGATTTGACCAATAAATTATATTATATAGGGATATTTGTAAAATACTATAATAACAACAAATAACGACTTTTGTTCCAAGATTTTTAATAATTCATCGGATTTTACTTTCGTACAAAAATAAAAATACATACATTATGCATTTAAATACGTTTTTTTAGGTGATATATTATTTTTGCGAATGACAGCATGCGGGAGGCGTTGCTAAAATACAGATCTAAAAAGTGTCAGATAGTACAACCAACATTTAGGGCGCGTTTATACGACGCGAATTTCATCGCTCTCACCCCGCGCGGTCGAAGAGCGGACCCGGCGCGGTCGAAGAGCGGACCCCGCTCGGCGACCGCGTAGACAACAGACAAGCTAGTGCCTTCCAGCTAAAAGCTAAATAAATAGAGCGTATTTTGCCATGACAGTTCGGTCTCTGAACACGTGCACGCGGTCGCTGGGCGGCGGCCGCCGCGGATTCCGCTCTTCGACCGCGCGGTTGCCTCCCGAAACTTTCTCCTCGTGTGTCTGGGCACTTAGTTTATTTTAAGTAAATTTATTATGATGTTATAAAAAAGTCGTGGAACAAAAGTTGTTGTTTAGGTTATTAGTAACATAGTCCTGGGATGTTGTAAGTATTTACAAACAAACCTGTATAACGAACACTTAAAGGAAAACATCTAAATACTTGTTAGAAGTCTTACAGTAATAATTATATTTCGTCGCTTCATTCTCGATACAATATTTAAGCAGGTAGTTTCTTTAACTTGCTAGGCAACACTGCACGGTTTTTAGAGAAAAAAAAAGAAATGTTTTGACGTTGACATTCCCTATCAGGCATCAACCGCAAATTTCTATCCTCATTCCTTTTTCGTGCATGGCAACAAGCACACCTGCACAGCTCCATTAAAATGTCAAAGCGAACAAACTTAGAAAAAATCGAATATTATAAAAGTAAAATTGGAAAATACAGATGCCAAACGTCATCGGCGTTATAGGATCATAACATCATCGGACGACTCGGACATTGATCAAGGTAAGATTTTTCTTACTCTCGTAAATAATGAAAATAAAAAATGAACACATTCATTTTTATCAGACGACAATGAAAAAAATAGCATATCGCAATTAAAAACTTAATTGACTTGGGAGCAGTGACAAAGCGCTGTCCTAGAAAACATCAATACATTTCTAGTACTTTTTCAGCCCCAGAATGCAACGGTAGTAGTCGTTTCACATTGAACATAACATCTTTTAACAAATTTGCAACAAAAACTCATTTTAAACTCGCAGGGGTTTCATGGCCAAAACACCTGTACGAGGTATATTCACTGACATCTATCTGAGAAGCAGATCGAAAGTACCACAGATTTCAGTATTTACCTTGTGGTGCGAATGAAATTGAAACCTATGAATTTACTGCTCTGGCATGCGGCTTGTCCGTGTTGTCGTGCGGCATCGAAAGTGTTTACCAAAATCATGAAAGAAGTTGTAACACATTTGAGACAACAACGATTTAAGTCCGTGGTATATTTAGATGATGTTTGTTGTATAGCAGCTGATTATGACGATGCATC